AATTTCAACATATATACTGCGTTCTCTGCCTATCTATTTATCCATCTATCTATCTATTTGACACATTATTTATTTCAGGCTAAAAAAATGTCCCAAATCCAGACTGGAGTTATTGAATTTATTATGAATGGACATAACCCGACACTCCAAAAATGGATGGGATATTTAAAAAAGAAATTAAGAAGAGAGAAATTATATAAAAACTAATGTTCTACATTGAATAAACATTTTACACATGATTTCTGATTTGAGACACGTCTAGTTGTACACACACTTCTCTAAGTTTGGTAAGTTAGTATTTCATATTGCTCCAGGGTAAGTATTGTTTTCTAAGATTTTTGCTCATTCATTTAAAAGTTACTTTCTCCGTTCACTTTTACTTAGCACGTTTTGACTTTTCACGTCCTTTAAGAAATAATAAATAAAATGTATAATTTATCATGATACACATATTAATTGATGCATATTTTATTGGATTTGAGAAAATGATTTGAAATGAGTAATATATACTGTGGGTATAACAGAAAAAAAAAATTGTCTTCTCTTGATATGCGTAAAGTGACAAGTAAAAATAAAAATTTATTTTTAGTATACATGCCAAATAAAAGTGAACAAATGTAGTATGTAATAACATTAATCATAACCGTTATTTGATTAAATTACCTTGGTTCTCCTATTACTTTCTCTCTCCTGAGATTAATTTTTTTAAAAAAATCTTTTTTCGAACTTTTTTAACCATTTCTTGAAACAAGGGTAGAATTGAAAAAAGATAACATTTCTTAATTTTCAATGGCGATAATTATTTTGGATCAAAATCTTTTGGCTCAAAGACACTTATCTTGAATTCATAGAGACTAATTTTTTATGACACAACTTCCCTTTTAAACAATTGTCAGCATCTTTTTTTTCTTTCTTTCTTTTGTTTGACAACCAACCGGTAGAATTACATGAGAAGGTATCGATTTATTTTCGAAAGTGAAGGATGGAGACGAGTGTGCTTTTATTTGTGCACGGATTGCTAACAGAAAGTCATGTTTCTATGCTCATTTACTAAGAAAATATAATGTGTGCACTAGTGTACAAAGGAAACCGACAAATCGCATCAACCTGATAATCCGAGCCAAATTGAGAAAAAAAATCCGATTATGGTTTGGTTTGATTTGGTTTGGTGTTGGAAAAAAACCCGACCATAATTGGTTTGGTTTTGTTTTAACTAAAGAAAGTCGAACCGAAATCAAACCAATCCGACATTACATATATAGAAAATTTAGATATATTTCATATATAAATATACTTATTGGTGATGTAATTTATAAATATTTCTTAAAAAATTTCATAATTTTATCTTTTAAGGTATTATTTCAAGGTTGGACTTAAAACTTTTGAATGTTCCAATAAGTTTTATAGCCATTAATATTAGTAAATTAAATAATGCTAACAAAAGCCCAAACCAAAAACAAATCAATAGTAATGTTAACAAAAGACATTCAATTCAATACTACGAACGGGAATGTATTGAATATCTATTTTTTGTTTTGCAATAATTTAGATAAAAATACATAACCTATTTTTATTTTTTCTTTAGCGTTTAGTCATGTAACTAATATTCCCTTATTAGTCTATTTATTTTAGCATGACTTAGTACTTTTAGATTATGTTTATTTTTATTATGGCTTTTAATTAGCAATATTTATATTACATAATTTTGTTGTCTTTATTGTTGAATATTTTAGGATAATGTCATGACAATCTTATATTTTGTATTGTTTTCTTGAAAAATACTTTATATAGTTGTATCTTACTAGGATTAAAGAAATATTTTCAGCACAAGTTATACGTTTTATTTTACGAAGATTTTGTCGGGAAAAAAACCAAAAAAAAAAAATGAAAACCCGAGTTTTATTAGTTTGGTTTGGTCTTTAGATTTAATAACCCGGCACAATTAGTTTGGTTTGGTAATTGTAAAATCCGAATCAACCCGACCTATGTACACCCCTAGTGTGCACTATACTCTAGAGTAAAATTTAATATACCCAACATTTACATCAAATAAAAAAAATTAATTTTAGAAACTAAAAATTGATTAACAAATATACTTATAAAATTTTTGAGATGAAGTACCGGCCGAAAGTGAAATCCCGAAACGCCAACTTGTGACTTGAGATAACAAAAGTAGTACCCGGGGCGGATTTAGGGGCGGAAGGGTGTTCATCCGAGCCTTCTTCGCCGAAAAATTATACGATATATGTAAGGCAAAATCTATTTTTTATCTTTATATATTATGTTTTAATTTTTTTAACACAGTTCAAAAATATAACTTAGTGATTAAGGGTGATCAGACCTTTTGTAAGGTCATTGTTCTATTCTCACTAGCTATGATTTTCTTTTTTAACTTTTTTCTTTTCGTGGGATCTACTTTTCCCATTCTTATTTTCTTCGTATTTACCGTATCCACTAGCAGCCGCTGCGTAGTATGAGCTTTCGGGCTTTCTCCGGAAAAAAGTATTGAGCGAAAGTGTAAATATTATTACGGGCAAGCCACTTTGTGCAGTGGTCTTTGAAAAATCCGGTTTTTTAAAAACCAAAAAAACCGAAAGTTCGAGAAAAATCGAGATTGAAAAATCCGAGTTTTATTGGTTTGGTTTGATCTTTAAATTTAATAGCCCGACATAATTAGTTTGGTTTGTTAATTATAAAATCCGAACCAACCCGACCTATATACACTCCTAGTGTGTCATACTAGTAATTACTTAATGAAAACAGAAAGGAAACCTACCCAGTTAGATTTGACTCCTCTCCATTTCTCAATTTCTCCATTTTCCCAAGTCTCTGTTTAAATTTGTGACACTTGTCTTAGTTACATATTAATGGTCCAGATTTATTAACTGGCTCATAGCCTTAATCATAGTTAATATACCTTTATTTTAGGGGGGGAAAATACTCTCTAACTTAAGGATGAAATCGCCATCTCCAAAAATAATATTTAAAAAAATATAAATCCTAGATGAAGATAATCATATATAGCTTCTTTTTTTTCATTGGCGGAGGTTTTAGCCACAAAAGAAAAAGGTTGAATAAATTGCTGCGATTTTATAAGAAATTTGACACTATCATCTCTAGTTTGTTCTTGTTTTTGCTGTTAACAATCTCACCGGTTGTATACCATTGCATAAAAAATATAAAAGTAGGTAATTTTGTGAACAAACAGAAACTGAATGGAAGTCCTCGCCATATATTAACATAAAGATTAAGTGTATAAATTTATTAAAAGCCAAAATCTGTGTTTCTCTATTTTATGCAAATTCTTTAGTATTACTAATATTTTTGGAGATGAAGATTTCTTACTGTAGTTAGAGAGTATATTCTCCTAAAATAAGGTATATTAGCCATGGTTAAGACTGTTAGTTACTCAAATAAATCTAGACCATTAATAAGTAAATAGGACAAGTGTCACAAGTCCAAATAGGAACTTTGGGAAATAGAGAGAATGAGAAATGGAGAGGAGCCTAATCCATTTCAAATTATTTTGCATCTACACCCATTTTTGTCTTAAAATAAGTTCAAAAGTACTACTTTTATCTTCGTCCCTAACACCTTTGGGTAATTTATTGGGCTCAGTTATTTCGCATAGGCCCATATATTCTAACAGGCCTAGCCATTGATAAAATCGTAAAAATTGCACGGGGCATCCTATTTGGTTGCCATCATTTAATTTATACACATTTTTTAAACTTTTAACTTGTACTCACTTTTTAAACAACTTCAGCCCCCTTTTTCCTCCTCCTCAAAGTTATATCCGCCTCTTCTTTCTCAAACTTCTCCTTCTCCCTTTTCTGCAAAAGTAAGGTATCAAACGGGTCGCATGAGGTTATAAATAATCCTTAATAAAAAGGACTAAGAGATAGCAACGAAGATCCAAGTTGATATACAGTGTTCTAACACTGTGGTTGCACCATTTCTAGCTAGAGAATGATACACGAGATATTTGCAGTAGTTGTGTTAGTTGGATATGAGACGAAGGAGATTGCAGATTATGCTATGAAGCTTTTCTCTGGTTCAGTGACACTCTACAGTAGAACATAAAACTCTGCTATTTCTAGACCAAGGCCTTATCCTGTACCTTGTACCTGTCAGGAGATCATCCACCTCTTTCCACTGACGTTGCCACTTATACGCTTTCAAGTATCCGTTGGACTCCAGTTTCATATATTTAAAGCGGGCGATAATATAAAAAGCTTATTTTTCCAGAAAAAACTTCAGCTCTAGAGCTGAAGTTCGACAGTTACAAAACAAAAACTTCAGCTCTAGAGCTGAAGTTCGATAGTTAAAAAATAAAAACTTCAGCTTTAGAGCTGAAGCTTACAAACAAAAATTTCAGCTCTAGAGCTGAAGTTCGATAGTTAAAAACAAAAACTTCAGCTCTAGAGCTGAAGTTCGATAGTTAAAAACAAAAACTTCAGCTCTAGAGCTGAAGCTACAAACAAAAACTCCAGCTCTAGAGCTGAAGTTCGGTAGATAAAAACCAAAAACTTCAGCTCTAGAGCTGAAGCTACAAACAAAAACTCCAGCTCTAGAGCTGAAGTTCGGTAGATAAAAACCAAAAACTTCAGCTCTAGAGCTGAAGCTTACAAACAAAAACTTCGCCAATTACAAACAAAAACTTCGATAGTTACAAAACAAAAACTTCAGCTCTAGGCCTGGCTACTAGAATGCTGAAGTTTTGCGCGATTGTCTTTGCTATTTCAGCCCGTATGTTGAAGTTATGCGAAAAAGCGGGTACGCTTACAATTTTTTTTTGCAAAACGGGCACAAATTAAAACGTGACAAAAAAACGGGTATAGATGCAAATGTACCAATAAAATCTCGATATTTCCTAACGACAATTTGGCCCACAAACTCTATAACAGTCGAACGAAATAGAATTGGGCCAACTTCCACCACACAGCTCGTGAGTTCGCTGTGATTGCACAGTTCGCAGTGACTCCTCCGCAAAGGTATCAGAATTCTAAAGCATTCTTCCCTTCACTCCCTGTTCGTTCATCTCGCTACTGCTATTACACTTGCTTGGTTGCCACCCTAGAAAAACGACGTGTTCCTAGTTATGTTTTGCACGTGGGGTGTTCGATGAAATGCTTAGCTGAAAATTTAGGTGTTAGACGTCTTGGATTTAACACTTAAATGGTTTCTCCATAACTTGTTTGCAGCTTTCTTTGGGAAATTTTGGTGTTGAGAGGAAAGCTTAACTTATCTGAAGACTATCTATGGAGGGGGAAGAGGATTCGGTGAAGAAGGAGAGGGTGGTAGAGGCAAGAGCAAGAAATATCAGCCACAATGTCAGGTGTACAGAGTGTGGCAGCCAGTCCATTGAAGACTCTCAAGCTGACGTTGCCATTCTCCTCAGGAAGGTATATCTTCTGTCTTACATTTTCACTCCTTTGAATCACTAGTTTCCACAACAACAACAATTCTAAGCTAGTTGAGGTCTAATTCTCACTGATAATGTCGCTCCATTAGGCCCTTATCTGTCAAATATTTAAAAGTTATGTTCTTTATGACCTATTTCCACAGTTCTACCAAAAATAAATTTTAAAAAAAAAATATAATAACAAACTAGCTCTGACCAACATGTGTGTGCTGCTGATGGGTATTTAGGCTAGTCGAGTTCCTGTATCCGGCATTCTGCATATTCCTACTCTCTTGCTGTTATCATTGGCTGTATGTGATGAGGTAATTTGTAGAAAGAAAATGCAGCCAGATGCACTTTTTAAAGTTAGTGGATTCAGAGTTAGTGCATGCAACCTTATATATATAACTCGAGTAGAAGGCAGTGCACGTAAAATTATAACGGTTTGGCATAGGTTGATGCAAGAGCTAGAGTTAGGTAATTATAAGTTACAATGTCGAGGATTAATTTTCATACAGAAGATACTTGATAATTTAGGTCTAGTTTCTATTTAGCAGTTTTACCAATCATTTCAAAAAAACAGTCAAAGAACAATTTTCAGCACAGCTCTCCATAAAACTTCACATACAGTCCTTAACAATCAAAAATAAAAATAAAAAATCACATACAAGCCATTATACTCCCCTCCTGCCACTATATCCACCTTTTATGCTTCTCTATTTCATAATAGATAATCAGCCATTTCAGGTAGAAGAAAAGGAAGACAAGACAGTTATGAGCTGCATCCTGTATATCTTACGTTACTTTTAATATTTCTTTAGTTTATTCTCCTCTTAACAGAAATATCTTACCAAATATGTGCAGCATTCACTGCTCAATAATAATGACACCCTCTCCACTTCCACTAACTGTTCATAAACATGAATTTTTATCTACAGAGTAATGCTATGTGTCTGTATCCATTTATACATATCACCACTACACATAAAGAGACTGTACATAGGAATCAGTAACTTCTGTGTTCCAGCAAACAGAGTTTATATTGCCTGATTTTCTCTTTTTGTTCTTTCCCATCAAATTAAAGGTATTTNTAGGCATGCATTATGATAGGAATCCCCAATTCTCTTTCAAATACAGCTCTTTTAATCATTTCTTAGCATGTACCTGCAATAGTATTCAAGTTCACGTTGCTATGCAAGCTTAAATACGGCTGAGCTAAACGAAGAAGCTATGTATGGTATTACCCTTTTGAAGGTGTCCTGTTCTTCGTTTTACATTTAAGACAATAATAGGTTTCCCATATTACTGACGTTTATTTTTTCCCCTTGTTCTTTCCCCTGTTCTCTCTTAATGAGTAAACTGACTCTTTCAGTTGGTCTATATCGCAATTGACCTCCTCTGCGGGTCTAGTTTCTTGAACCGATTGAATTTGCTATATTCTGGATGTCCTTCGTTTTTGAAAGAAAAAAGCTCTATTCTGGATTGTCAAGTAACTATTTCGTTTGTGTTATAGTAAATATGCATTTATCATCTCTTCGATGAGAGGGGGATAGCAGGGAGCCAAACACAGAAAACAGCTTCTGCATGGTAGGTTAGTCTTTTTTGTTTTGTGGGACTAGTTTTTGAAGGAGAAAGAGTTAATCCTGGAGCAAAAAACATGACTTCCTGAGTTTGATGGTTGATATCTTTTTTTTTTTTCCAGTCAGAAGTCGGGGCCTGTGCAGTTATGTTCCAAGTTGCAGAATAAAGGAACTACAGTTCTTAAGAACCCTTGTCAGTTGTCACTGCCTAAATTAAGCAAACAAAATTTACTGCATAATTCAGAATTTAAGACTTTGTTGGAGTTTCAAAGGCCAACCTATATATTATATACCAGTACTAATTTAAGATGGCAAACAAACTGCTTGAAATAGCCTACTAATAAACCTCCTGCTTGATCCAAGTTTATCGTGTCAAAAAGCAAAAAGGGGATCTGGCCAAAGTCCTGAAAATCCACTAAAGACATCAGATGTTGGCTTCAGTTCAATGCATTAAGATAAAAGTCAGTGTCAAATGGAGGTTTGAACAGCTCGATTCGCTGAAAGCTACCGCAAGCATGACTATTAGCAGCCAATGTATGGTCACGAGGATCGGATGAAGGTTGTCCACCCTGCCAGTATTCACAGGACATAAGTGGCACACCTTGTGGAATTGCCTGCATCATCTGCTCGGGCATGCTGCTCTGATTTGCATGTGTTGGGTGGTTCAGTGAAACAGTCTCAGGCTCGGATGAACCCCATGAATTAGTTGACAGAAGAGAGAGAGCACGAGGAAATTCCGGTCCTGTACCCATTTTGAGCATGGATTCCTTGGCACGTCGATTGAAAACCTCGGCTGTGTGGCCCTTGGAGGGCAAGAGCAAGCAATACATTACTGTGTGCACCCACGGCCCGTGAAAACTGGATCCCCGGCAGTAATGACTGCCCATTTGTACTGCCAGCTCTTTCAGGCTTTGGAGTAGACCCTCTTGTTATACTGAACTTAGTTTCTTCAGTGCTTTTTGCAGCAGCTCTAGAGTGAACCAGTTGGGTGTGGTTGAGAACAAGATTCATAGGTTGCCTGCTATCATAAAACAATGAAGAAAGCCTTGCCGAGTTGAACTGGACGTGCATTGTGATCAGAGAGCCTCCTGTGACAGCTTCTCTTCTTTTCATCAAATTCAGACAAGCTATGGAACCTGCTACATTGTTGACAAAAGCGGCGTGCTACACCTGCTATAGTGACCTTTGGGCATTTGGAATGACTGTCACAAACTCGATGCTTCCAGTAATATTCAAAGCTGATGAAAGATTAAGGTTGCAGCCTTCAACCTGACAGCGAGGAGTTGGCGCATTTTGAGTAGATGATTTTGTTTTCTTTGCTGCAGCAGCAGATGATACGGGGTTCTCGGGGAAGGATGAAATCTTAGCACCACCGATGGTCTCAAATGTCCGCTTACCAAGTTTCAGACCTATAAGTGGTTCAACAGAGCCTACCAAAGCCTCCATGGGGGGTGAATTTCTAGACCAAGGTTTCACTTTCTTACTAAGATCCTCAGGAGAGCCATCGAAAGAAAAGTTGGATGCTTTCAAGCCCTCCTTTGGTGAAGAGTCAGTAGAAGCTGATATTGAGCTCTTGATCGAAGAACCACGCCCCACATCAGAGACATAACCACCTGTACCACTACCACTACCACCACTCGACAAATTGAAGGATCCAGCATCAAGTTCTCCATCTTCTTCAATTCCCCAATCTGTTAATTGTAGTTCTTTTGGACTTTTGGCGGCCTTTGAACCAAACATTATCAGGTTTCCCCAGTCCCACTTTGCATTCCACTCCGTCTTGGGAAGAAGCTACGAGATGGCATTAGTAAAGTTCCACACTCATGGAATGCAAAAAAAGTAACTAGGACTCAGATCTTTATCAAACAGAGCTGTTGGATTCCAGTAACAGACAAAGAACCACTAGTAGACAAAGAAGTATATTAAAACTATTCAAATAACAGAATCAGAGCTCAAGCCCTTCCAATCCAAGGCCACAAAATGCATCTCCCCATCTATCGCATCCCTTAACTCCACCACATCATTTTCAGCTACTTGTTGTTTCCTCACCTATGAATATGATAGAGAGAAAGACAATTTTCTTGGAAAACTTTAGAGAGTTTACACTTTACCGACGGTTGATATCTCGTTTTTTACTTAGGTTGGCTCCTTTGTGAGTGTTATATCGTAATTCTACTGTCTTCTGGAGCAACTTACTAATTACTTTGATTGTCATACTTCAGTAGAATGCTATGCACACAGAACTGCATTTTTACCTTTAGAAGATATGCCACAAGTCCTTGTTGCTTTGCATCATGTGGCTATGGGTCTTTTCATTTGTCTAATCCAGATATTCTCTTTGCTAATTGTATGTTTGTTCTACTTCTCAAAATTTTAAAAAAAATAAATGAAAAAATGGAGTATATATATGTTCGTCTAACTTTCCTTGCATCCATGCCTAAGTTATTCCAACTTTTGCGCGTGGTTACTGACTTGGGTCTTCTTTTTAGCTAATTANACTTTTGGGCGTGGTTATTGACTTGGGTCTTCTTTTTAGCTAATTCGGGATGAAATTCGAGATGGGAAGTCTGACAAGGAGATCTACAGAAAGCTTGAGGATGATTTTGGTGAGACAGTACTTTATGCCCCCAAATTTGATATGCAGACGGCTGCTTTATGGCTCTCTCCGGTCAGTTAAAGTTTGCTCTCTACCTCTGCCTTGCTCTTTCAAAAATTATATTAATAGACAGGTGCTGACGTTGTTTGAAATTTTTTTGACGCAGCTACTAGTTGCTGGGGCTGCTGGAGGCATGTGGGCTTACAAGAAGCACAGGCAGAAGACT